CATTATATGGACATGTATTCGCAAATCACAATATATAGTCAACCCTTCTCTTCTTTACTAAAATAATACTCATCATTTTACAAAATCAATACATAAATAACATTATTCTTCATATATTACCCATTAGAGATAAGCCTTGAGAATATGAATTTGACCAACATCAACAAACTAAATATTTAATTCATATTCATTAGTCAATTTAATTAATCAAAATAATTAATTTATGTTTATTTATTAAAAAGACAAAGATGAATCAGTCAACATACTTTTAAGCGTATTTACTAATGTATAAATCATTCTGTTGTTGTGTACCAAACGTTGTATGTTGAGTACATATACCACACATTTTGAGGAATTCAGCAAATGTAACTAAGTGGTTGTCCAATTTCATTATATCTTTCATTATACTCACCACCTCAATCTTATCTAATTATTTTCTCTATTTTTGTCTAGTATCATTCAACCTCATAAATACATCTAAGACATTTAATTTATTGCTTGAGGTTTTTTCATGAAACAAAGAGATATATATACACCCATAATATGAAAAATCATTAATGAAAATAATAAAATATTTTTGTTTATTTTCCCCCTTTCTATGAGACTAGTCTACAACCCATAAGAAGTTTTACGAACCGTAGATTGGTCTCGCAGACCTAAATCAGTAGCCAAAACTCCTGCAATCTATTTCCTTTTTGAAATCCTAAATGTTACACCATAAGCCTAGAAGATACACTCGTCGGTAAGTTTAAGTAAAACCCAAATAGACCTTTATAAGCCCATTAGGTACACAGATAAACTAAATTTACTAAAATGAGATACGGCAAGTCCAGATCCAGAGAAGGCGTAGACCAGACCTATAACCGTGAATGACCTTCAAGTAACCAACAAGAACCACCCATCTAAAGCGTACAAAACCCGTACCTCGAAGCAAAATTGAATCTCTCGGGGCGTCAGGCCATAGGAATAAGTGTGTCGACTCAATTGAGGATAAGACCATGACGTATAGGACCCTGAGAGGGTCCTACATAAGCCACTTGACATACATACAATAAGAGAGTTTAAGTAAGACGTCTCATATGCCGAATTATAACTATGTCTTGACAAACCATTATTAAACATCATAAGAGAGGTAGGAATGTAAACCATACACTACGTACAAATTCTCAAGAGTAAACAATAAAAGCAATAAATGATCTTCAAGGATTTTTCCTCAAAGTATGAGGACTCACCAATACTATAGCGAATAGAAATCCGAATCTAGACACGAGCAGGAGGAGGAACGTTAGACCCTATATTATGAAACAATATAGGCACATTTATGCATTAGTACATCGAATGTACTAAGTATGAGAAAATATGCATAAACGTAGACACAATATCATAGTAGGCTTAACACTTGTAATGCATGATAGAATGGAACATTTAAAAGCGTAGAAAGCAAAGTCATTGAAACCATGAGACAAGGAACTTACCTTGAACTTTCAATGTTCCTGCAACCACAATCACCACTGAAGCAAAATGTGTCAATCTGATACCTCATAAACAAATTTCAATGGTGCCCCATCATTCATTATCTTCTTCATAGAACCTGAGTAGATATGACACATACTGAGATTCTGCTTATTTTCGTACATGTTGGAAGGGGGGAGGAGTCAGATTATTACTCTGAGAATGTGATAAACATACCTATCATCAAACAGAATCAAATTGAGTGAAACACCAAACTAACAACTTACATTCTAACAGTCCCACAATTTCATATAAGTTAAATACAAAGTCTTATGAGAGTAGAAATCAGACTTTATTCGGTAAATAAAATTGCATAAACATACATGGAGAATAAAAATGCAAACTTTGATATGGAAAGACAGAGGATAAACACGTGTAGATTCTTATACACTTCGAGTAATTTGATGTTTTATATATAGACTTCAGTAATGAGTCTACCGCAGAAGATTATGTTCGTCATACAAAATAAAAAGTGATGGTTCCTCTGTGAAACGTAACAGACCTTGTTAAACAGTAAAATTAGTTGATTACAAAGTGCCTATAAATTCTAAATAAAATCTTACCTACTGTAATGCCTACCGCTCATGGGATTTGGCTTGATTTACCACATCAACATTCTAGCATGACCTAGGAACTAGTAACCTATAAGGAAATAAAGCATATTCGGTTTAAGTGGACAAACATCATGCTAAAAATATAGCACAAATGCGATTGATTGATAATTTTGCATTTATAATGTAAAAATAAACACAAATATTTTCTTCTGGAACTCGTGGAAAATAATATTTGAAAATTTGACTCAAAAAGTGCAAGAGAAACATAGACTTACGCCAATCCTGAATTATATAACCGTCTACTTGAATTTTATGAATATGGGAAATGTTTGACCACTGGAGTTTCGACCACTCCTATTGGTACAACTTTTTTCTAACTGTGGGCAACTATAAATGTAGAGTGTCCTTAAATTGGTGAGGCATTGCATGACATCTCTGGATGGCAGACGATCTAGTTTTTTGCGGTTCTCTAAAGATATATATTCCAAAGAAGCAAGGTTGACGAGCCCACCCAATAGAGCTTCTAACAATGGACAATCATACATGGATAGATACCGTAATTTGGGCATGACATTTGAGAAGTCCACATGTCATAGACTTTTGAAACTCATAAGATTCAATGATTTAGGAGAAGTAAGGTTGCCAAATCTCTGAGGAAGAGCCTCGATTCTAAAATTATCTATACCAAAGTGTGTTAGGGACCAGGGTTGAATAAGCTGATAAGGCAGAGAATCCCCGTACAAGTGTCCCCTAAGTTCAGTCTACGAAGGGACAACAACTGCTGGATGCCATTAAAAATCAATTGGAATGCCTCAAAATCCACCGTCTCTGAGAAAGGACCGATTCCCAGATCCATTAACCCAATGAGACGGTAAAGGCCCCCTGAGGGTAAACTAATCAATTTGGGACAATCTGATATACACAAAGAGGAAAGTGAAGGCATTTCTCCCACATGTAAAGGCAAGGAAACCAAGTTCTTACAGACTAACACATACATAGCCTCTGGAGAATATAAACAATTCTCTCTATTGGGAACATGAAGAGAAGTTAAATTGGGACAGTCGAATATTCGAAATGTCTTAAGATTGTACAAACTTTGTGGCAAATCACGAAACTCTCCACATTCTGAGACTAATAAGAATTGAAGAGAAATTTTGTTGCGTAGCATCTCATTTGGTACAAAGGTGAGCTCTTTCACGTGATCAACAGTATGATCCACAAGAGATGTTAAATTATTGCATAAGTTCAACAATGTCATTTCACTGTCAACTCTTTCGATTATTAATTCACGTAGGATTTCAAATTGAGTTGGAGTACTTTGTAATAGTGGACAGTCTGTAATTCTCAATTTCTCAAGCCTAGGAAAATTCTTACTCCAACTTCATCTCCTTTACACTCAATAAGGCTGCACATATTCACCAATACTAGTTATTTTAATGACGGGAACACATGGATATTGCCGTTATTGCTGCTTGATCCATTATAATTAATCTCAACACCATAAAATTTAGGTACGATCCATTCCAATTAAAGGAATCCTATCATCTCAATATGCCGAAGGAACTTTAGTTGGCCAAGCGATGGAATTTCTTTGCACTTTTTGCAAACACTTAATCTCAACTTGATCAAATTTGGTAGCAATCCTTCACTGAACCATGAAGTAAATATATCCCCGAAATAGTTCTCCACTTCTAAGGTTTTTAAGTTGGGATGTGGTTGAAGGCCATCCAACACATGGTCATCATTGATCTCATAGCCTTTGTTTCTTTGTGGGACCATAAATATGCCACGCTGGAGATATTTGGTTTCTCCTGTATATATATATATATATATATATATATATATATATATATATGTTGTTCGAGCCTTTTCTTTATTTCTGACTAATTGGAGACATCTGATAGTCAATTTACCTCTAAGGTTTTTCAAACGACCTGATTCTTCTACTCGACGATCTTTCTTTAAACTTACAAAGAACAATGGTAGCATCTAAAAACTAGTCAATTGACCCATATTAAATGACATCTAAATATATAATCAGTAATGATTACTGTTTCAATATATGTGTCTCAAACTTATTATATTTGCCATTTCTTCTGGAACTTTTCCGAGTGAAAAACAGTTTTTGACTCTAAGTGTTTGCAAATTGTAGAGCTTGCAAATGGAGTTGGGCTAGGTTGTGATTTTAGGGTTGGAGAGATCAAGATATCTGAAGAATATTAGCTTGCTGATTTTGCCTGATAACTCCACGATGCCTGATCCGGACAAATTTAAGACTCTCAAGAACTGAAAGCTCAATAGCATATCATAAGATATATTTCTTTTCTAGAACAATGTGCACAAACGTCCTGACTCATTTATCATGTCCATTTTATCACTTGGTGAGACCCATCCAATGTATCCAACTTGAGAAAGTTTTTCTTCATCATTGCCCTTCGAATCAAATAGTTTAGATTTTAAGATATCTCCATCAAAATCGTGCATCTTATAGTACTTTATATTGTTGTGCTCCTCTAGCTCAACATATTGCAGCAAGGAATTTTGCAATAGGATTTGTAAAAAATTGTGCCCAACATCTTCTATCACGGTGGTCTCTTGATATGGATGGAGAAACCCTTCTGCCATCCAGATTCGGATAATTTGTTCCTTTTCAAACACAATCTTTTGGAAACATTGCAAAGTAAGAAAAACATTTTTAAAGATATGGTGATGGTAGATAAACATAGCTGAGTTTTAGGATTTCCTTTAAGCTATTCTCTCCATTATCATGTTCACCTGCAACAATTGGGTTCCCATCAAGAATAGTCCACCATTCATGTTTCTCCTTGTTGCGCAACAGGCCTCCCAACACACTTGCTCCAAATGGTAGACCTTTTCAACAATCCTATTCTTCACGCTCACTATTTCTTCCGGATCTTACCCACCATAAAATGCTCATTGTTTGAAAATCGACCAACAATGATCATTCGCTAATTTTTCGAACATATGAAGGCCTACTGTCGCTACTGTGGATGCCTCCAGCTTCATACGAGTCATCACAAGAATGCAGTTTCCTCTGGATGTGTTTACTCCTCTCAAGCTGTCGATGAACTCATCCCACACTGGAAGGTCAAAACTCCACAAATCATCTAAGACAAGCAGATATATTTTTCCTCCTAGTTCATCTCGGAATTTCTTCACTATTATATCCCTGGTATGGACCTCAAGTTTCCGATGTGTCAATGATTCGAGGATCTGCTCAAGAAAGCTCTTAGTGTCTTACATTTCAGGTAGACACAACCAAGCTCTCTTTTCAAAGTGTTTTTCGATCTCTTCATCATTGAAAATTCACTTAGCAATAGTAGTTTTCCCTAAACCACCCACACCCACTATGGGAATAGCACACAGTACAACTTCCTCTCTCATGTTCAACATCTTCTCCTTAATTTCAGCAACATTATTATCTCTACCAACAACATCCAAAGAACCTACTAAGAAATCTGTTTCTCGAATCATCGGTACTATTTGCTGAGAAGGAACTATGAGTGATTGGAGACCTAGGTCTTTGGATAACTGATTGATATCCCTCAACCCTTCATTTATATTCTTAATTTTTTGAGATATTTTGCTTATAAAAGAAGATTGAGAAATGAAACTACTGACCTTCCTCATTGGACTGTTTTGAACTTGTTCTTGTAGAGATTCATATAGGAATTTATCAAGAACATTCTAAGCATCTTCACAAAATCTCTCAAGCATCATGAGCCATTTTCCACTGCTTGATCTTCGTCATCAACTTGTCGTCTTTGAGCATCATGAATGAAATCTTGAATGATAGATACATTTTGTGTCATCCTTCTGAGATGCTTGTTGCAATCCGGCCTAACTTTCTCAATAGTGAGAGAAAGAAGTTTTTCAAGCAAAACTTGAATTGTAGCAACAATTACAGGGTCAGCCATTGTTGCATTTGCTTTGTCTTTTTAATCCTTCACCAAAGTCTTCTCAAGGTTTTGGCACAAGTCTTTCTTTTGCTACTTGTTTATGGCCACTAAAGGAAACACAATAAAATTGGGTGTTTTTTTCTTCTTTTTCTAATGAATGTCAGTCACTTTCCAAATCAATAAGTGGTTTGGAAAAATTTTCAGGAAATATTACATTTTCCGTTTAAAAAAGAGTGAGCTAATTTAATGTGACACGGAGTTTTAGAAAATAAAGGATACTTTTGAATCTTATAATTTTAAATAAAATTTTTGATAAATGTAAAAAATTGTCCTTTAATCTTGTAGATTTAAACAAGTCATGCAGTAATTTGAAATTAAAATGTTAACCCAAAAAAAAGAAAAAATGTCATTTTTTTAATAGATTAAAAATGAAAGGTCATTCTTTTTTAATATGAGGGAGTATTGAATTAATAACTCAGAAGTGATAAACAATTGGCAGTAACATTTAGCCAAGTTTTCTATTTTCTTTTTCTTTTGATTGAGATTCTACTTTTCCAAGTTGGATGGTACTAACATATAAATGTTGCTACATGTGATTTACAACAGAACAGTCATATGTAGTAATATATGACTTCTCACCACAGAATAATTATATGTTGAAGCATGTACTTTTTTCCATAATTACTAATTACTTTTTAAATTAATTTCTTTGGTACAATGTCATTATTTGTAGGGATTGATTGTCGTAGTGATGGATCGAGAAGAAAAATCGATACATGTGGCGTTGGGAGGATAGTAAAAAACGAGTAGTCGGTTCAGTAGGGATGTATGTCGAAAGAAACATTTTGTATGATGAATTCTTCAATTTAGTCATGCAAAAGTATGGATACAATTGTAAACCGCAAGATCTTGTCATAAGTTACATTCCCCATTTTTTCATAATGAGAAGGTTTTACCTTTTATATTAACTGATCAATCTAGTTTGAGTGTTTATTTGGGAGGAACAGAGAAACCACCAATATTAAGAGTCTACGTGGAAGAAAATCCGGTCGAAAAGGATCATAATGCAGACCAAGTCCAAAAAGATATGTTTAATGATGAATTTGATCTTGTGGATCGGACATGAATAATCTCGACGATGAAATTTGAATAGGTGAAGGTGAAGTTCAAGCTGAAGGGTCGAACCTTGAGAGCAACTTTCCTCCTACACCTATAGTTGGCAGCAACAATGCATGTTCTTCACAATTTTCACGTGTTAATAATGTTCGAGATAATGAGATAGGTTTTTATAAGGGAATGACATTCAAGAACAAGCAAGAACTGACAAATTCATTGAAAATTGCTTGCTTGAAAAAATATTTTAGACTGAAAAAGATTATTATTTCTCGTAATGTGTTTTCCTTTAAATGTTCATATCGGATCGCAATTGGTGGCTAAGGGCTGTGAATTTTACAAGTAGCAACAGTTTTGCCATTAGAATCTATGAAAAGTACCATAAGTGTGGTTCAGAGCATCTTTACAAGCCATAATCCCCACGCCACGACAAAAGTCATAAGTAACTACTTTGAAAATAGGTTTCCTAATCGTAAAGGCCCATCCACAAGAAACATGTCAAATCAACTCCGCACAGAATTAGGTTGTAAAGTAAGCTATTGGATGATTTATAAGGGCATGAAGCATGCTAAGCTTAATATTAGGGGAACACATGAGCACGGGTATGCAGTGCTTAATGTGTATCGTTATATGCTTGAAGTTGTGAATCCATGAAGCAAAACGACATTGTCGCTCAATGAAAATGGGAGGTTTCAATGTTCTTTGTATCATATGTTGCTTAGATAATTGGTTTTCAAGAAATTTAAAAAGTAATAGCCGTTGATGGCACATTCCTGAGGAGCAAGTATGGAGGAGTTCTGCTATCAGCGTGGCACAAGATGCTGAGAATCATATATTTTCAGTGGCTTTCTGTGTCGTGGACAAGGAATATGATGCCTCATATGAATATCTTTTTTTAAAATATGAGAAGCTTTGTAGATGATACTGATGAGTTGTGCATTATCTTTGATAGGTATCCAAGCATTCAAAAGATGGTTATGAGAATCTACCTTGCAGCTCATTATGGTTGTTGCATGAGACACCTTGGGGATAATATTAAAACTAACTTTAAAATTTCGAAGATAGTGTCCCATTTTTAAAAAACAGAAAAGGCATACGATATATTTGAGTTCAATGACCATTTCAATCAAATAAGAGATTTGGTACCAAGGCGGATGAAGCTCTTGAACGTATTGGATTTCACATGGACTAGGGCATTTTTCCCGGAAAATTAGTACCATATCATTTGAGTTTATTTTTACTTTATGTGCGTTGTTTGATTTTTATCTTTTGTTGTGTAGATATAAAATTATGACGTCAAACATCATGGAGTCTATGAATGCAATGTTTGATGTTAAAAGAGAATTCCCATTGTCGCACTATTTGATGAAATAAACAGGATGTTGCATTGTTATTTTATCAGAGGCGTATGGAACTGGTGCACTCTGCAAAGTGATTTGTTCCCTCAATTGAAAAAGACATATTATGGTATGTCAATGCGGGCAACAAGTTGTTGGCCCATCAAATCGCTAACTACAAGTTCAGTGTCACAAGTCATGGAGATGGTTCTACTGCGAATCTACAAAAAAGAACTTGTACTTAAAGAATTTTTGACTTGGACAAAATACCTTGTCCACATGACATGGCAGCGCTTCGATCCCAACATGGTGCAGATTTTGGAAATCAGATTTACATGTACTAATCTCCATATTATTCCGTGGAAAAATACACAATGGCATATTGTCAGAAAATTCACCCGGTGCCACTTGAAGATTCTTGGATTGTCCCTTTGGATATCATACAGAGAGAAATACCTCCTCCATATGTTGATCCAAGTAAACCCGAAAGAAGGATATAGAAGAGACAGCATGGACTTGGTGAATCATTTCCAACAAGAAAAAATAAGTGTTCCGTTTGTAGTGACTTCGGACACAAAAAAGCTACATCGCCAACTTTAAATGCCCCATAAGAATGATCCCTATCTTCTTATCTTATTTATAATCAACTTATGTGATGTTATTTGTACATAATGTGTGATTTATTTAACTATGTGTTGCTACATGCAATAAAATATTTCATATGTTGCAACACAAGAAAATTATGTCTTGCAACTTAACACAAAATATTGCATCTGTAACAACCTATTCCAATTATATATTAGAATATTTCATGTGTCGCAACATATGTCGCTTATGTGTTAGATCATACAACATAAAGTTGCATCTGTGCCAACATATGTCATTTATGTCTATTAAGTACCACAAAGACGAATCTGTACCAACATATTCTAAAAAAATATTTTCGTGTAATATGATGATATCATTACTGTCATTGGAACTATGATGACGCGACTCTTCATACTACAACATATTTCATATGTGGCAACATATGTCAATTACACATTTAAAATCTAATTACGAATCTGTCCCAATATACTTTTAAATAATGATTACGAATCTATCCTAATTACTGTCATACTGTCATTTAGAAACAGTGACAGGTATATTAATTACAAATCTTCTATTTTTACCCTTTGTTGAAAAGTCATCTCTTGCAACTTTTCGAATTTCGTTGCATATTTTCAAATTTCTTGGCATTTTATAAGAACACAACACAAGGGAGGGATAAGTCATAAGTTATCTCAACAATGGTTTCAAGTAGTAAAAAAGTCATTGAATCCCTCCCGATTGAACTAGTCATTCTTATCGTTGAAAGGGTTGCTTTCTACTCCTACAAGATTTAATGAGTGTAAAATTAAGTTTCAAGTTCCCTAATGAAGTCGCTAATGAACGTTCTGTATATAAGAAGGTGACATTGGTCTGAATTCTCCCTGAACCTAGATGGACGATGAATCAACAAGCCATTTCTTTCATGAATATTTGCATAAAAACGGAGAACTTAGAAGCCTTATACAGAAAAGGCATGGTAATTTTAATGTTTTTCATTTTTTTCACGTTTTCATCAATGTATTTTGTATTCTTAATGTGTTCTTTCTTTTATAGTTTGATTTCTTCAATCATAATGATCCAACTGCATTAGGAATGTTTAAAAAAGCAGAAGGTGGCCACCGTGGTGCAGAGTATGTGCTTTCCGTAATTTCAATCTTTGAAGGTGGTAAATCCATGAGAGAAGGCTTGATGTGCATAACCAACATGAAAAAGAATGTACCGGTAATAGTGACAAGACGTCGACACAATTTGTGATACATTTTAAATCAAATGTGGTTGACATAACCTAATATATTGGGAGAGAGACCCATTTGTTGCACTATGCATAAACCCAATCAAATTGCCCGCATGAATGGTTGGCTTAGGGTAAGCGACAATGAAGATGACATTCGTTGTGAACTGTGTAGTTCTAATTTAGAAGTAAAATATCTAGTTAAATTTCTTCCTCATACGATCGTCTGGGATTAATCTAGTCTATGGCAACTTATGCCATAGGGTGGAAATGTTGTTTTTTTTTGTCTTTTGTATGTATTTTCGAATTAAATATGTGGCAACATATGTACTTATTTTATAGTTATTTTTGAATTATATATGTGGAAACATTACATTCTTCATATGTATGTGTGTGTGTGTGTGTGCGCGCGCGTGTGTGTGCGTGTGCGTGTGCGTGTGCGTGTGCGTGTGCGTGTGCGTGTGCGTGTGCGCGTGCGCGTGCGCGTGCGCGTGCGTGTGCGTGTGCGCGTGTGCGTGTGTGTGTGTGTGTGTGTGTGTGTGTGTGTGTGTGTGTGTGTGTGACAATTTAAGACTCTCATCTTCCTCTCCTTTATTATATAAAGTTCTTATGGTATGTTCTTTAGTATTTTGTATTCCGTCTAATATTTTGATTTTTATTTATCATATAAATCATGCTCATTTCATTAATTGTTGTCTAATGATTTGATCTTTCACATGAAAATATATTATTAAAATTTTGTTGTC